GATAGACATATTTTTCTTCAGATAGATCAGGAGGCCATTTGGTCTTTACATATCTTTGCTCTACTCCATTATGTGTTGATCTTAAATCTACTCTCTTGGGTAGCCATCTTTTTAGAAATTGTTTACCACAGTTTTGAGTTCTCAGGAGAGGGAAAATGTCTCTCTTTGGCCCCCAAGGAATGGCAACACATCTCACAAATGCACCAGGGCTACGAGGACTGGAGAGTTCAGAGAAGGCTTTTGAAGAAAGATGGACTTGAGTTGGCTTTCGACAGATTCATAGGAATTCAACAGGCAGGGTGAATTAAGGGAATTTTAGATGGGCAAAGGCACAGAAAAAAGCAGGAATGAGCATGGTGTGACTGGGTTATGGTGAGGGGCTGCTTTGGCTGGAATGTAAGGCTGCTCTGACGGTAGAAAAAATAAGTAGGTAAATTAGGGTGAATTGGCAGGGTAGGGTCAAGTTGTCAGCTTGTTAAATCACTCTTTTAATATATTAGCATCTGCCTGTCAGGAAATTAATAAACCATTACATAATTGAACAAAAAGTAAGCAAAGTCAAACTCCAAGAATAGGCTACTGTTGCAGGAATTTGGCTGTAAAATTTTAACTGAGCCTGTTTAGACAATGCCTATAGGGTCTCTACGAGTCAGAAACAACTCAAAAGCGACAAGGGTTTTTTTGTTGTTGTTGTTTACCCACTGGAGAAGATGCTAAGTTAATCTAATGGATCTACAGAATAAAACTTTTATCTTTTTGCTTTGTCCTTTCTCCGCAGATTGACTGATTGCTCCGAAGAGTGGACATTTTATCTCTCTTATCATTTCAGCCAACAAGGAAAGAAATCGGGGATAGAATAAAAGTGCCTGGTGACTACATCAAATCATTGCCATAGTTTTGGGTTGAGGAAATTTTGCTATCATGTCACTCTGGCCTTTTTAAATTTAACTTCTCAAAATAGTCTAATAGCTTGTTATCTTGGTTTCAACTCCACCAAGATCTCCTGGGAGTGGGGTTCCTTTCAAAATCCCTGGAATATACTTCGCAATAAAAGTACCAAGCATACCCCAGTCCTAGAGACTGAAGAGGAATATCAAGTAGCAGTAGGTGGGAAAGTGGATTCAATTTTCAGTTTGTGGGTTTTGAATCTATTATAAGGACAAAATATATTCTGGAAACTTGAATTAATTGTTGTCCTTACCTCAATGAGGCAGAAAATTACAATCAAAATCATCACTACCACAGTCACAGATATTGCCAAGATGAGCTTGTTGTTATAGCCATATCCTGGAACTTCTTTTGTGAGCTAAAAAATAGGAAGAAGAATTTTTTTTTTTTTAAAGAACAAAGAGATGTAAAGGATAAAAGCCAGCTATTCAGTTTCAAAACCCAATTCTTCCAGGTGAATCTAGCTTATAGGTTCATGACCAACATACCAAATCTAATAATCTTACTATTAAGCACTCTTCTTTACAATTTGTGTGTTAAGTCTTTTTCTCGTCTACACTAGGAATAGTGGCACCATTCTCTAAGTGAGCAAAGTGGAAGATGATTGTCTTGGCCAGAATGAGACATGGAGTAGGAGCTTTGGCACTCTAAAGGCATGTCCTCAACTCTGATGGAAAAGTCTGGGCCCCATGTTTCTGGAGTTGTCCTCACCTCACTTGACTCCTGCTCTTTTTGCTCACTCTGGACTTCTGTGCTCTCATTGATATAGTTCTCAGTTTTCCATTGGTCTGTATCCCAGTCTGCCTTGGACACCTTAACTTCTTGTTGCTCACTGAGAAGCTTCATCAGGAGGCCTGTTCTGGAGATGAGCTTGGCACAGGCCAGTTGTACATAGGGCTCTGAACAGTCCGTTTTCAAAGTCCGGATAACATGAGAAATAAGCCCTCTCACGTCATTGTTGGGGATGAGGGACCGTAGCTGTTGGTTTAGCTGAGTTTCAAATTGATCACCCGGGTTTGAGTGCAATGACAGAGAGGAGCCATTGGGCTTGGAGGGTAAGTCAGTGCCCATGTGATGGTATTCCCAATGTGTTTCATTGGTTTGTTTAACAGGTGGCATTAAGTTGTCTGCAGTCACAGCAGAATCTGCAGTGGAAGGATCCTTACGGGCAATGATCTCACGGGTAGTCTCATCTAGCACAGTAGCATTGTGTGCAGTAGTGTTTTTTGCAGAAGGCTCTGAAAAAGGAAATAATTCTGGAAAAGGATTTTCTGGAGAACTCAGTTCTCCTGAAAATGAAGAAGCCTCTTGTGGAGGGGAATTTATGAGGCTCCTGACTGCAGAGAAAGGAGGTCTGTTTTTAAGCATCAGTCTACGGACTTTTCTGAACCTTCGACTCTGTTTGACCTTTGGTCTTCTGTGAACTACACGAGAGCGAGATTTATGAAAGATGTAATTTTTTCTGGAATGGGATACTGGTTCAGGAACCTTCATATTTTTAACTCTAGAATTTGCAGCTTCTAAAACAAAAATGGTGTAGGTCAAGTTTTTTAATTGGTTTCTAACCTCAGGTGGAGCTTTTGAAAGAGGGGAGGTAGAAGGCCTGTGCATCGAGTACTGTTTCAGGAAAGAAGAGACTGCTGCTTTATGTTCCTTGATGAACGAAGGCTCTGTGTGGAAGGAGATTTCCCCTAACTTCCTTGGCCTCTGCACTTTGTGAAGCTGTTCCAGCTCCCTTGGGGCTGGCCCCCTGGGCCTTCTTGCTTTGGGGGTGTTCTCCATAAATGACTTGGCCCCTTGTTTCCTGTTGATGCTCTGATCTTCCATTTCTTTGAAGTGGCTTTTCTTCATGCCCCTTGGCCTCTTGAGGACTCTGTTCACCCTTTGCAGTCTTTTCCTGACACCTGTTCTCTGGATCTTTGCCAGGTGGTCTTCCCAGGGGTGAGCAGTTTCCAATTTCTTTTGAAAGATGTGGCGTTTAAATTTGGCACCTAAAAATTTGGGATGCATAAGCATGGCAGTTTTTTCTTTCTTTTTAACCTCATTAATTTTTTCTTGAATTTCTGCATCTAACAAATTCTCCAGAAAATAGAGTTTCCTCAATTTACTTTTGTAAGTTGCATTGTTTTCAGGCTTAAGAAAGGGATTCCCTGGGTTGTTTTGCAAATAACTCAGGGTCTTTTCTCTATCTTGTACATTTGAAAAAAGGAGTTTTATGAATGGTAATAATGTCAATTCTATGTCTCCTAGATTTCCCTCTGAGAAATAAGGCAATATGTAATTTAGTGCACTAATAACATCATTTTCATCATTAAAGTCTAGTGGCTCATTCAGGACAGTTGACAAATTGACACCACTTTTGTCTGAGGATGCTTTTTCTGGCTCAATAGTCAGCTCAGTGCTGGTGCTCTTCTTCCGGGCTTGTAATGCCTTCATAAATGTTCCTTCTGCAGCCCCTAGAGATGCTTCTTCACCTGCCAAAAAAGAAGAGACTGCGTTTGACAATGAAAGACTGATGGGACAGCTTTTTGTCAATCCGTAGCCATATATTCCAGTCAAATACATTAGGAGTCAACAAAGATTTGAGTGCCGTTTAGAGAGGAGAAAAATAAACCCAAACTGAAGTTTATAACCAGTAACAACAATGTTCCACTATGAATGTGTCCACTATGTCCACCCTGGTTCTTTTGAAAAGGTGGCTATCTACTGAGAACATTCCATAGTGTGAAACATAGTAAATATATTTAGATTATGGAGCCTTGGTGACACAGTGTTAAGCGCTCAGCTGCTAACCAAAAGTTCGGCGGTTCAAACCCACCAGCCACTCCACAGCAGAAAGATGTGGGAGTCTGCTTCCGTAAAGATTTACACCCTTGGAAATACTGTGGGGGAGCTCTACTTTGTCCTATAGAGTCACTATGAGTCAGAATAGACTCGACAGCAACAGGTTGTACTTGGAATTATTCCATTGGTCCCCAAGGGCCAATTGCCCAGTACTTAATAAACCCAAGGCTGGAAGACAAAGATTCCCCTACACAGGTAGACCCATCCGCCATTTCTCCTCACATTCATATGCCACATACTGTCCTGCCCCAGATGCAGAGAGAGAGTGAAGCTTGCTCTCTCCACCTCTTCTGTGTGTTCACGTTCTTGTTGGCATCACACATGACTAATTTGAAAGACAGACCTCTGAGGGGAGTAGGGGCACAGCTGCTCAAGTGGATCCCATTTTACAGCTCATAGCTCATAGCTGCTCATCTGGACATGCGCTTTTCCACCCACTTACCCAACTCGTTCCCTTGGTTCTTCCTGCCAAATATCCTATCCCCCATAACAGAAGGGTCTACACAGAATGTGTCCATTATGTCCACCCTGGTTCTTTTCTTGATATTGGGCAGAGATCTGGGGTATAGTAGGTTAAGAGATTTTTCTCCCCTTGGGTTCTGCTAAGTCCCTTAAAAAATTTTTATTTTATTTTGTTGTTGTGGAGAACATACACAGCAGAACAAACATCAATTCAATAATTTCTACATGCACAATTCAGTGACATTGATTACATTCTTCAAGTTGTGCAACCATTCTCACTCTCTTTTTCTGAATTGTTTCTCTCCTATTAACATAAACTCACTGCCTCCTAAATTTCCTATCTAATCTTCTGAATTGCTGTTGTTAATTTGATCTTTTATAGATAGTTCTTGAAAGAGCATAATGCTCATGACAGACGTTCTTTACTAGTTAAGCTAAACTATTGCTTATGTTAAAGAAGAGTTGAGGGCATTCTTTTTTTTTTTTTTTTGGTGTAAGGTTTAAAGATTATCTCAGTGCAATAGTTTCATGGGGTTTAGCCAGTCTCAATGGCTCCAGAAAGTGTGCAGTCCATGAGAAGTTGAAATTCTGTTCTGCATTTTCCCCCTTTTGATCAGGATTCTTCTATCAAATCTTTGATCAAAATGTTCAGTAATGGTAGCTGGGCACCATCCAGTTGGTTAAGAGATTTTTAATTTGCCATGCTGCATGTCTATCTGGAATGTTCAAGAAATCTATGGGATAATAGCAATTTCTAGATAAATGTTACTTGAAGTCCTACAATGCAAAAGGGAAAAAGCAACCTTTGTCAGATGCCTACTTTGCTGTCATTTTATTTCACATTTAATATTTCCAGCATTACTTGAGGAACTACTCAAAGCTTCCAACTGCATGAAGGTCAAATGTACCATTGTACAGTTTTTTGTGTTTCTTTTCCAGAAGAATGGAAAGTATTTTCGGTAGCAGTGAGAGTCTAAGGAGGAGTAGAAGATCATGGGAAAGGAGGAGTATGGGCTTGTGGAGAGCTCAGAATTGGGAACAGGAGAGCTGGGCACCAGGCTACAGCACTAACACCTCTAATCTTGTTTTTCTTCATCTGTAAGAGGAGATTAACAATGCCTGTTCTGCCCACCTCTGGGGAAGAAGGGAATAATAGAAATGTTCTGAAAAACAAGCAATACTGTTTTTATATAAGTGGCATAGTGTCTTTTTTCTTTTCTTTTCTGTGTTTTTAATGACTTTTTCACTTGCTTCACATATGATGTCCTTGATGTCATCCCACAACTTGTCTGGTCTTCAGTTATTAGTATTCAACGCGTCAAAACTATTCTGGAGATGGTCTCTAAATTTAGGTGGGATTTACTCAAGGTTTGACTCTGGCTCCTGTGGACTTGTTTTAATTTTCTTCAGCTTCAACCTAGACTTGAGTATGAGTAATTGATGATCTGTTCCACAGTCGGCCCCTGGCCTTGTTCTGACTGATGATATTGAACTTCTCCCTCAGCTCTTTCCACAGGTGTAGTCAATTTGATTCCTATGTATTCCATCTGGCAAGCTCCACATGTATAGTTACCACTTACATTGCTGAAAAAAGGTATTTCCAATGAATAAGTTGTTGGTCTTGCAAAATTCTATCATACAATCTCTGGTGTCGTTTCTATCACCAAGGCCATATTTTCCAATTACTGATCCTTCTTCTTTGTTTCCAACTTTCAAATTCCAATCAGCAGTGATTATCAATGCATCTTGATTGTATGTTTTATCCATTTCAGACTGCAGAAGTTGGTAAAAATCTTCATCTTTGGCATTAGTGGTTGGTGCGTAAATTTGAATAACAGTTGTATTAACTGGTCTTCCTCATTGTGTATGGACATTATCCTATCACTGACAGCATGTATTTCCGGGTAGATCTTGAAATGTTCTTGTTGACAATGAATTCGACACCGTTGTTCTTCAACTTGTCATTCCTAGCATAGTAGACCATATTTTTGTCCAATTCAAAATGGCCAATACCAGTCCATTTCAGATTACCAATGCCTACGATATCGATCTTTAAGTGTTTCATTTCATTTTTGACAGCTTTCAATTTTCTTTGATTCATACTTCATACATTCCATGTTCTGATTATTAATCGAAGTTTGCAGCTGTTTCTTCTCATTTTGAGTCATGCCACATCAGCAAATGAAGGTCCCCAAAGATTTACTCCATCCATGTCATTAAGGTCGACTCTACTTTGAGGAGGCAGCTCCTCCCCAGTCATATTTTAAGTGTCTTCCAACCTGAGGAGCTCATCTTCTGGCACTATATCAGACACTGTTCTTCTGCTATCCATAAGGTTTTCACTGGCCAATTTTTTCAGAAGTAGATCACCAGGTCCTTCTTCCCAGTTTTTCTTAGTCTGGAAGCTCTGTTGAAACCTGTCCACTATGGGTGACCCTGTTGGTATTTGAAATACTGGTGGCATAGCTTCCAGCATCACGGCAACACACAAGCCACCACGGTAAGACAAACTGACAGCACTTAATTGTGCTCATGCAGGACCTGTACATAGACCAAAATGCAGTTGTTCAAACAGAACAAGGGGATACTGCATGGTTTAAAATCAGGAAAGGTGTGGGTAGGGGTTGTATCCTTTCACCAGACTTATTCAATCCATATGCAAGCAAATAATCGGAGCAGCTGGACTATATGGAGAAGAATGCAGCATCAGGATTGGTGGAAGACTCATTAACAACCTGCGATATAAAGATGACACAACCTTGTTTGCTGGAAGTAAAGAGCATTTGGAGTGCTTACTGACGAAGATCAAAGACCACAGCCTTGGGTATGGATTACACCTCAAGGTAAGAAAACCAGAATCCTCACAACTGGACCAATAAGCAACATCATGATAAATGGAGAAAGGAGTGAAATTGTCAAGAACTTCATTTTACTCGGATCCACAATCAACACCCATGGAAGCAGCAGTCAAGAAATCAAACGATGCATTGCATTGGGCAAATCTGCTGCAAGAGACCTCTTTAAAGTGTTAAAAAACAAAAATGTCGCCTTGAGGACTAAGGTGCACCTGACCCAAGCCACAGTATTTTAAATTGCCTCATATGCATACAAAATCTGGACAATGAATAAGGAAGACCGAAGAAGAATCGATGCCTTTGAATCACAGTGTTGGTGAAGAATATACAATATACAGTGGAGAAAACTGAATATACAGAAGAACGAACAAATCTGTCTTGGAAGAAGTACAGCCAGAATGATCCTTAGAAAGGAGGATTGCGAGACTTCATCTCACATACTTTGGATATGTTATCAGGAGAGACCAGTCCTTGAAGAAGGACACCACACTTGGTAAAGTAGAGGGTCACTGAAAAAGAGGAAGACCCTCAACGAGACCGATTGACACAACGGATGCAACAACGGGCTCAAACACTGCAGTGATTATGCGGATGGTGTAGGACCAGGCAGTGTTTTGTTCTGTTGTACATAGGGTTGCTATGAGCCAGAACCGACTTGACAGCACCTAACAATAACAGCAAAGTGTTGTTATTTATTATTTGTTCCAGATCACTCTTGCAGACCCATACTCAGGCTCTCTATATGTGAAGGTAATCACCCTTTGGAAATCACGAAGTTAGTGCCAATAAACTAACATACAGAAAGAAAAAAAAAAAACTCAAAAGCACCTGCTTTTTTGTTTTGGGAATAGAAAAACTTGAGATTCAGAGCAAGTTCAGAGTTGGACAGTCTATGAATGGAAGAGCCCCCTCAACC